GGGGTGGGGAGGGAAGGGGGATTTTACAGTATCCTTCCCCTGCCACACCCACCAAGCCACACTGACAGAACTGGAAATAAAATTTTTTGAATTCCACCACTGATTTAATGACTGTGGTGATCGCTTTATAACTGCCACATCTGCTTAATGATCACCTCAGAAAAAGTAGTCAAATTTAGTGGGTTATATGGGTGACCCAATTTAAGACATTCGTGACTTATGATGGGCAGGTTCCATTATGGTCATAAGTTGAGGATTACTTGTAACTAGAATTCTTAAATTCCAAATGTCCATAATATTTTTACTTTGTTAGATCTACAGAATTTCAAAATTCTGAGTAAACGTTGTACTAAGTACATGTACTTAGTAAATGTTTTACTTAGTAAATGTTGGAGATCAACCACACTTTCTAAACAAGAATCTGGCATGAAATTATTTGTTTTGAAATCATGGTTTATAAGTGTGAAAAATAGATCCTTTACTATGCTCCATGATGTTCTTTACTTAGGGGTACTATTTTTCCTGCTCATCACAGATAGGTTTTCATCTCCCTAAACAGAGAAAACGAGAAGCACTTCTTCAAATGTATTCAGTTCTCTTTAGTGTGAACCCAGAAGCCGATCAAATTTAAAGAATATTTGCATCTCTGGGGTCCTTGGTGCTGTCTGAATTTGGATGTTTTATTTCTTTTCTAGGTAACGTGATGATATTACTTTATTTAGATAAAGAAAATTCTGCAAGAAAACAACCAAACTCAGAAAGCACCATGGGCTTCCTACCAGATTTTCTGTCACGTTGGCTCATTTTTCCTCCCAATTAACCATGCATTGCACAATTCTTGTTAACCTCTCTTATCCAGCTGCTCCTTAACTTACTATTCCGTGTTCTTTTAAAACTGAGCCAAACTTGGAACAAAAACCACGAAATGAATAGACCAGGTTGGCAATTTAGCATGAAATGCAGCTTGAGATAATTGTTGGCCAGTCTTTGGCTCTGCCATAAGGTTGCACATCAGTCTGGAAAAGGATCCTGAATTCTTAGCCTTTAAAGGAGTTTGATATAATCTATGAAGAATTAAAAAAAAAGGAAACACAATAGCAATGCAGCAGAGATGTAGAAAGGTTGTTGTTTATTCGTTGTCATCCCATCAGCCGGGGAGAAGAATGTCTGATTTGTGTCAACATAGATCAAGGGTTGATGGGAGAACTCAGAGATGGGCCAGGACAGATCCTGTTTGAGGGCAGCTGATACGTCTTCATGGCTTTCTGATTGTGGAAACAAAGAGACCCTGGAGGCAGTAAGGCAGTTGGGAGGGGGAATCCAATGTCAGAGTTTGACTTTGGAGGGTGAAATCCAATTAACCTTCTTGAAACTGATGTAATATGTACTGTGAGTGATGCCCTAAAGAGCCGGTAGGGAACATTATGAATGAAGGGAAAAGAGAATAGACCATGTGGCATGGATGAAAATGCAAATGGCATGTACAAATTGGAACAAAGAGAACATACATGGAAGATGGAGAAAGGTAATGAGAAATAAATGCCTGAAAAAGAAGGAAAATATCTAGGTATTTTTAGGAAGAATTTCTTAGGCTTGTCTCAGGTAGAATCTGAAAGACCACGCTAAGCTCCACAGTGGAAAATGGATTGAGTGAAATAAATTCTTGAATAATGACAAGTGGGATGAAGGACATCTATTCCTTTGCTGTTATATAGTGCCTAATTTGGGATGACTCTCAGCTGCTGTTGCCTTCTTGGTTTGGTTAATGGGAATTGTAATTTCTCATAACTCATAGATGTCACGCTCAGGGAGACAAACTAAGAGTGCAGGGTGGTCCGAGTATTTCAAGCCAGCTATTAATCTTCATATAAATAACATTTCTGGACTACTGAAACAACTGATTTTACTTTTCTTTCTTCTGATTGAACCTGATCCCTCTAATCTCTATTTATCTTCTTATGCTTTCACTGAGGTTCCTTCTCAGACAACGCATACAAAACTGTACAGTCCTTGGTGCTCTCTAAACTTGATTGTTTCTTGCAGACATTTCATTACTCAACTAGGTAACATCCATCAGTGCTTGGTTGGGTAGTAGTTGGGTAATGAAATGTCTACAAGAAAACAGCCAAGTTCAGAGAGCAACGAGGGCCCCACAGTTCAATCCCGGGTACAAATATTCTCGTTTATTCTCTGCTTGAGAAAATGTGCCTTCGGTTTGTTTGTTTAAATCAGAGAATGATGATGTAATTGACTGGAAAGGGCTTTGCATTTTGCCAATTCTGTACTTAAGCAAAAGCAAAACTGAAAAAGATCAAATATGGAATCTAATCCATGAAGAGCTGTCCTCCAATGTCTTATTCTTTAAAAATAACAGAAGCCCCAAAGTCACTCAGGGATATGCACAGGGTAGGTCAAAATCTGTAATACGGTGGACAAGAGGTTGTGATTGACCATTCACCGCTTTGAACATGGGGACAGGGCCTGGATCAACTTGACTGCAGATTTTGGCCCACATCCTATGGACCTATCAGAGCCAGCATTTTCACAGGAGATTAAATTGTGAATATCAAATGTTCTTACAATCTTCCCCAAGGTGGAGTGGTATCTATAATCTTCTCTCTCTCATCTTGCTCTCTCATTCATTATCAGTCATCTATGTATCTCTCTCTTGTCTCATTTGTCTGCCTATCATCTATCTAATCCTCTCATCCATCTATCATCTATATCTATCTCTATCTATCTATCTATCATCTATCTATCTCTATTCCTCTCATCTGTCTGTCTATCATCTATCTAATCCTCTCATCCATCTATCATCTATCTATCAATCTATCTGTCTGTCTGTCTATCTATCTATCTCATCTTTTTATCTATCATCGATCTAATCTATGTAATTCTCTCATCTATATCTATCTATCTATCTATCTATCTATCTATCTATC